AAAAAAAAAAAAAAAAAAAAAAAAAAAAAAAAAAAAAACCAAAAAACAAAAAACAAAACAAAACAAAAAAATGAGTTTAAACTACAATATTCAGTGTTTATAGCATATAAAGCAGGATTAACAAGTATGTGAATAGGCTGGTAAATATACTACAATTATTTTGGTAGGCATTTCTGTTGTAGAAACATTATCCCTGACACAGCATCTGCAGTGACAGGGCCAGCTCATGTGAAGCCTGGCAGCTGGGACTGGACTGTTTGGGGTTTTTCTCACTGACTTTTCTGCTGTGTCACAACCTGTCATTATAATGAGCGAGCGTTAAAAGAGTGTATCAAAAGTGGTGGCAAGGGCTGGCGAGATAACTCAGCAGGCTAAGCTCTTGCTTAGATAAGCGCAGGGACAGGTGTTGGATCCCGGCAGCATAGGCTGCGCGGGCACCAGCCTCGCCCCGGGTGTGCTGAGCTGGCCACAAGTCTGGGCGTGGAGGCGCGTGCCTGTAATCCCAGTGCTGGGAGGCTGAAAACAGAAGGATCACCATGAGCCCGAGCTGTGTAGCGAGACCCTGCACCACATACATTAAACAAAACGCAGTGGCAAGTAAGAGGTGCTCAAAGTACGGTACAAGTTCTGTGCTTTTATCGGTACTGCCACCAAAACAAAATGAATGTTACTAAAAGAAGTCTAAGGAGTACTTATTTCTATTTGACTATTACTAAACATTTCCTTTTGTCCAAAAAAGAATGCTCGTAAAAGTATTTCTTATACTTTCTACTTTGACATCAAATGGAATGTTGGATTTTCAGAAAGTAGTTATCTCAAGGACCAAGGCTTTTAGGGTTAGACACAGCTTGGGATATTTATGGACTCACAGGAAAGGCAGAGTTGAAAGCTAAATAGAAAAGGAAAGCAGCTACTTCAACACTGTGGCCAATAGAGTAAGATGGACAGAAGAAATAGAGGAGTGCTACTTGCCACAACTGAAGTAAAAATATCCATAGTGGCCTTCTCCTGACATAGTTTCATAATCTTACAGTGTCTTATACGAGTAACCACTGGTACTAATTATCTCAAACTTACTATTTGTAATTCTTTAAAGAGAAGGCTGGCTTAGCTCTCTAACTGTATCGAATCCCACGGACAACTACTCCTGAATGTGAAAATCTGGCTGCACGGCGCTGCTCTGCCGCTCGTCAGCGCTGCCCCTGGCCTGTGTCACTCAGGCACTGCCCCTCCTGGAGGGGTGATGCCTCGCTGTCCTGCAACCCTCTCCCCAACTGCCGGTACAGTGTCCACCGCAACGGCTATCTCACCACCCCTGGGAAGCGGAGCCCAGGTGACCTGGCGCTCTGCTGGCTGACGCCGCAAAGGGAAGTGCCAAGCACCCCCACCCTCCACAGTCTGGCCCGGGCAAGTGACTGTCATAAGATCTGCAGTGGCTTCTCACCCTGAAGTCTGTTCACCCAAACACCTCCTCTTGGACTAGCATCTTGTCTGTCATCACTTTTTTAAAAAATGTGTTTGGTCACTGCAGGGTCATTCATTACACAGCTCAGACTCGTGGTGATCCTCCTGTTTTCAGCCTCCCCAGGACTAGGATTACAGGCATATGCCACTTCGCCCAGATTGTGGCTGGCTCAGCCTGCCCTGGGGGTGGGGGCTGGCATGGCATGTGGTGCTGGGGATTGAACCGTGGTCCCTGAGCTTGCCTAACCAAGTGTTTTAGCCCACTGAGCTATCTCGCTGGCCCTGTTATCACTTTCTGAATCTTACTGCGCCTTCAGCTACTACTGAGGAGCATATTGGTATATTGGACATTATTGAGAAAGCAGATTTCATAGAAATCTTGTGCATAGGGTTTTTTTTTTTAAAGGATTATATCAATGGTAATGAGAATATGGACAGAAATACACAGTTCTCCTAAATACAGCAGAACTTTGTTCTCTGAAACACAAAGAAAAAGAATTTTCTGAGAGTCTGGCTATGTAGTCAGGCTCCCTCTGAACTCACTGTGCTGCCCAGGCTAGTCTCACATTCACCATGATTCTCCTGCCTCAGCCTCCCAAGTACTGAAATTACAGATGTGTGCTACTGTTTTTTTGCTGGGTGTGGTGACCCATACCTGTAATCCCAACACTCAGGAGGCTAACAGGAGAATCACTGTAAATTTGTGGTCAGCCTGGGCTACACAGTGAATTCAGTTTGCCTGAACTACAAAATTGAGATGTTGTCTCAAAAAGAAAATTGTTTTTCTTGATTTTTTGTAAACTTTGCTGCCTTGAATTATAGCGACAGAATTATCCTCCAGTAAATGACCCTTGTCCACGTTTGGAGCCTGTGCGGTGGTGCACAACCGCAGTCCAGCATTCTGTGATCACAGGCAGGAGGGTCGCAAGCTGAAGGTCTGCCTGGAAAGCCGAGTGACTTAGTGAGACCCTGTCTCAAGACAAAAAATAAAAATGGGCTGGGGATATAGCTGAGGGCAAAAGCCCCGGGACCAACCCCCAGGAAAACAAACAAAATCTTCCGTTTGCTCTTGTATATTGTGGTGGTCACTGCTTTTAAGTGTGGTAATCGTAATCAACTATTATACTTTATGTAGAAGCACTGTACAGATGAGGCAGCGTGATGGCACGCCTGCCCTCACTTCGCCTCGCCCTGTTTACCCTTCTCAGCAGAGGGCAGCAGCCTCAGAGCGCGTGCGTCTTATCAAGAGCGGCACAGTGCCGGGAGGGAGATGCGGGCGCTCTGCCCTGCAGCTCCCCCGCAGCAGATCTCCTTCCCTGGGTCACTGGACGCGGCCGGAAAACCAGTACCCTGCCTCTGATCAGACTGGCATTCTGTTAGCGAACGATGGTCAGTGAGGCACAGACTTTGCTTGCTTGTTTCTGGTGAGACGGGGCATCACTCTGTAGTTCAGGCTGGCCTTCAGCTCACAATACAGCCCCAGCTGCCTCCAAGTCTCCCCGATCCGCCTGCCTCAGCCTCTCGGGTGCCGACTGACAGGCATGTGCCACCCCAGCCGGCCACAGCTGCCTTCTACTGGAGAGTGCTCGCTCTCAAGGGTTACACTGTGTTCGACACAAGGCAGAGGCCTCCCAAAGAGAACGCGTTGGCATCATACACTCATTTCTGACAACTGAAGAGGAAAAATTACAAAATCCACTTAATACTCCCATATAATAATGATCTTTTAAAAAACTAGTCATCGATGACCTCCCAATAACTGACCACACGAGCGTGGCACCAAAGACTCCAAAGACTGTTACCAGCACCCAGGCCCCGCTTCACAGCTTCACAAGCCCAGCGGAAACGCTTCCAGGAAAGCCTTCCCCTGAAGCCCTCCAAGCAGCCTTCCGGGCATCTGCACACATCCTAATGACCAATGCGAGGCACCCCCTGCAGGTGCGGACACTCTCACCTGGCCGCGGCAGGGCGGCGGCAGCACCCACCTTCACTGGCCAGCTGGCCGTCGTCCGACTGCTTGCAGAGGATGATCTTCTCCACCAGCTGGTTGTAGCTGCAGTTACCCACTGCCTTCACAGCGTCAGCAGCCTGAGGACAAGCCAGAGCAGAGACGATAGCCAAGACCACACACAGCGCTCTAGGACTGTACCCTAACACACTGCTAAACGCCCGAGTACTATCTATGGGAACGGCGCCACTGAAACCAGTACCTAACAATTTTGGGCTTTTTTTTTTTTTTTGCGGAACCAGGGATTAAACTCAGGACTCTGCGCTTGCCAGGCAAGCGCTTATTCTACTGAGCTATCTCCCCGGTCCCCCAGTTCTGGATTTTGCTTAGTGTACATAGCTGTAGTTCAATTAAGAAAAGATAAAATGAGATAACATGAAACTTTTAAAAGGTCATTATTACTATGCTTTGGTTCTCTGAGTGTCAACTGAAGTAAACTTGTTAAGTGAAAATCTTGCTAAGTAGTGCAGGCTGGCCTTGAATTCATGGTGATCCTCCTGCCTCAGCCTCCTGAACAGCTGGGATTACCAACATGTGCCACCACACCCTGCTTCATTCATCTTTTGATAACTATTTGAACTGTCACTTGGAGTAATGGCAAATTTTGCTATAAACATTCTTTCCATTTATCTTATTCCACACACCACGAGCTTCTCTTAGGGTACATGCCTTGTCACACCAAGTCTCCAGTTACGTTTATCCTTAACTTCAGTAGACGAACCAACCTTTTCCAAAGGAGATGACCAATTTCTTCTCTCAGCAGTAGAGAATGAGAATTCCTGATGCTGTGCGTCTTCGTCACTTAATGTTCTACTTCTATGCTTCTTTTGTCTTTGTGCGACAGGGTCTTACTATGTAGCCCAGGCTGGACTTGGACAGGCAGGCTGGGATAACAGGCCTGCACCACACCTGGGTTCAAACCATTTACCCTTTCTCTTTACTGGGTTGTCTATCTTCTAAAAAATTATCTGTGGGCGTTCTTCAAACCTTCTCGATGCTGATCCTGTTAGAAACAGCATCATGTACTCTGTGGCTTGCTCTTTACACCCTCTTTAGAATGTCCTCATTTCTATTTTATTTTTATTCTTTTGGTTTTTTGAGACAGGGCCTCATTTTGTAGTGAAGGGTGGCCTTGCTCTTACTGTATAGGCAGGCTGGCCTCAACTCAGTGACACTCCTGCCTCATCTGTCTGAGTGCTGGGATTACAGGTGTGTGTCAATGGTACATTTTAGATAAGCAAAAGTGCTCAATTTTATGGTAGTCACATGTACTGACTGGATAATGGATGCGTGTGTATTGTTCTAGAAATTTGTATTTGCTGTTGCATTTGTGTATTTTGCAGTTAAACTTTCTAGGGTCCACAAAATAGAATTTTATGGTGTGAGGGGCAAATAATTCCCTTTTGTTCCACCATAGTTATCTGTCTTCTCAACTTTTATTGTAAGAACTGCTTTCACTCCTTGCTCTACAGTGTTTTATTTCTGTCTATATTAGCACAGTCTTTTTAGGTTCCTATTTCCTCTCATCAGTCTAATACTTACTGAAATATTTAAAATATTTCCTAACTGGAGAAGCATGGCCTCTTTACTTGTTCCGCCTTAACGGCCTGCCGGGCCCCGTGGCACACGCCTGAAGTCTTACCAGGCAGCAGACTGAGGCAAGAGGACTCCAAGTTTGAGGCCAGACTGGGCAACTTTGTGACTCAGACCCAATCTCAAAATGTAAAAAGGGCTGGGAATGTCGCTCAGTGCAAAAGCCCAGGCGACGCAGCAAGTCTGAGGTCAGCCTAGATTGTTCGTAAGACTCTGCTTCAACCTCCCTTCCCCCAAAACACAGTATCTTGGCTTTTATTCCTGGCGCCTTCCACCTTCATATAAGTTACGGAAGCAACCTGCTACATTCCACAGCTCCCACCACATTTCCTGGGGTTTTGATTTTTATTTTATTGATGCCTTACTTTTTAGAAAAATGAAATCTTCGTAATTCTGGTCTTGAAAGCTAAGAGCATTGCGTATCTCTCCATTTACACGGGCTTCTGCTTTCTCTCAAACATCAGACTGCCCCCAAAGCCAGGTCAGCAGGGTGCCCCTGAGCCACACCCTCCGAGGGCTGCTTGAGCAAGGCCTGCCTTGCATACAAAACATAAAGTTACAGGCAAAATTATTCAGACAGAGCTCTTCTAGGTCTGTCACATTTATTCCTAAGAACTTATGCTACACAAATATTTTTAAAATTTTATTTTCTGTCATTTAAAACTCGTTGAATTTTAGCTTTGTCAATGTTCTTTTTGAGACAGGGTCTTACTATATAGTTTAGGCTGGCCTTGAACTCATTATGTAGTGTAGACTGACCTCAAATTTGTGACAATCTTCCAGCCTCCGCCTCCTGAGTGCTGAGACTGTAGGTGTCCACCACTATGCCCAGGTACTTAGGTTTCTTGACCTTGAACTTACTATAGCCCAGGCTGGTCTGGAGCTCAGAGTGATCCTCCTGCCTCTGTCTCCTGAATGCTGTGATTACAGAACCACCAATCCCAATAGTAGCCATTCTTTATTAAGACAGCTATGCAGGGGGCTGGGGAGATAGCGCTGTAGAATAAGTGCTTGCCTGGCAAGCGCAAGGGCCTGAGTTCAATTCTTGGTTCTGCCAAAAAAAAAAAAAAAAAAACCCAGCTGTGCTGGGTACAGTGGTTCACAGCTGCATCCATGGCTCTTTGGGCGGCTGTGGGCAGAGGCTGGCTAATTTCAGTCTAGTCTGGGCAGTCCCGCAATTTAGTGATAACCTGTCCGGAAAAAAAGGTTAAAAAGGGCTAGAGTATAGCTCAGTGCAAAGGCTGATTAAATCCTCAGCATCGGTGGTGTGCGGGTAGATATGATAGCCATTATTACGTTCCTTTGACATATGCATTTAAGGCTTAAAACTTCCTCTAAAAACGTTCTTAGCTGTCACAACGATTGTCATGGATTTTACTGTGCAGCTTAAAATATATCCTAAATTTCATTATGATTTTTCTTGTCCCAAGGACTTCCTAATTACTTCTTTTTATTTATTTTATTTTTTTTAATTACTTCTTTTTACTTTGTTGTTTTTGTTTTTTTTTTTTTTGTTTGTTTGTTTTTTTAGAGCAGAATATATTTCCTGGGGGAAACAAAGCTTCTGTCCAAGAGAGGGACAGAAGGGGGACCTGAGCAGGTTGCCCTTTTCCTGTCCTTTTGAGACAGGGTTTCCCTGTGCAGTTCACAGTGGCCTTGAACTCACACTGGAGACCAGGCGAATAAAACATTTTTTAAATTTAAAGAATGTATACTGTTACCTATTTTTTTTCTATTATAGAGAAAAAATAATTAAGATCTTTCACTGACAATCTGCTAATTTTTGCCCTTTTAAAAGGTGCTGGTAAGTGTATGAAGCCAACACTATGACCATGTGCAGAGGTGCACACACATTCCAGACCTGCCCCCCACGATCCTTTTTCCTCCCCTCGGCCCTTCCCTTCATAGACAATATGGGGGCTGGGGAGATAGCTCAGTACAATAAGCGCTTGCCTGGCAAGTGCAAGGGCCTGAGTTCAATCCCCAGTTCCACAAAAAAA